TACACAGGGTGCGCGTTTGGTTCGAGCAATAGCTGATGCCAAGCATGTTGTACTGTGCAAATTGATCCACTCGAAACGTCACTAGAAGTCGAATAAAATCAATATCTAGCTTCCGATCAACTGCTACCACAGAGTTACCTATTGCCAAAGTTCTGGGTTACATGCAGGAGTCAGATGAATAAGCACTTTACTCAGCAGATACCAGGTAGACTGGGGTGTTGACACCTAAGAAATAATGGCCACAAAACCGAATACACTTGCTGTGACAACAGTTTAGTAAAACCCTATATGTGATCACTGACGAAAACACGTTTGGGTGTAAAACCTCTAGGGACGAATATAACGTGGTTCCCACTGTTCTATACCATCGATTTTTCGCCTACATGGTCCTAAAATTGAGGGACGAAGTAAAACACCAATTACTATTGATTAGGTATTTTCTGAGCCTATCTGGGTAAGAGTACCAAGGTGTAACTGACAACTACTACGAGTTTCAGTAGTGACATTTGTGTTTTATCTTGTAGTGCGTATTGTTTGCGTCACCTTCGACATCCCATAATCGTGCATATTTGTTTCTTATTCGTAGGGGAATCTGGCTTTGTTGGAAGTTACGTACGAATGTCTTCTTGCTGGTGGAACCCCCCCCCCCCCAGTATGGTCTTGTTGCCCATTGACAGGCTGAAATCTGAGGACATTTTGTTTAATATTCCAGTGCTCCAAAGATGGATCTGTGTCATCAATGTCTTTGTTAACATGAAATCACACGGATTTTCTGGGGACAATTTGTAATAATTGATATGTTCAGCTGTCAACCAATTTCTGCATGCGATGTACTCCAGTGTCTTCATCTACAATAACATTCGTCCAGTTGTAACACCCTATCGACACCTAGCTGCCGCGCCATCCCAAGGACGCATGAGGGATGAGAGACTGCCAAGCTGCCGAAGGTCAGACAGGAGGGGTCAAGATGTCGGACATGGGTTCGAACCACGGACCTTCCGGTCAGTAAATTCACGCCATAACCACTGAGCTACCTCGAACTCAATCTATAGATGTCATATGAACCAAGAAAAGGTGTATGGGGTTTCTACAATGCTGAAAATGATTGTCGTAGGGATGCACATTGGTTCTTGAATACCTGATGCGTCATACAGTATAGTTCAGACCGCAGAATTTGGGGATCCTAGACAGCTACCGTTTGAAATGGCTCCAAGCAACTGCGCGCCTCTTTGTCGACCATATTGAAACTGCTGTTGTCACTGCTACTTTTTGGGCGAATTCCAAGGGCATGTGTGCTGACATCCCTCGTGTCACCGTTGTAGCTCGACTTACATGATAAATAACGCCTGGCTCGCTGCGACGTTTAGGTCATTGTCCAGAAAACGAATTGAGTAAACGAACTGCGGTCCTCGGCTGAACGAATCAAAGCAGGCATTGATCAGTAATGGACGGAAAATATGGAACGATAAACATATGCTCATATCTGTAGGGTTCATGATAATAAATAAATAATAATTGTTCGGGTATAACACCCATCCGGTGCTAGCTACCGTGCTATCAGAAGAAAGCACGAGGATCGAGATACCGCAACGTCGCCCAATCTCAGACAGTAGAGGTCCGGATGCAGAAGTTGGGTTCAAAACACGGATCTTCCCGTCAGTAGGTTCGCGCACTAATCACTGAGTTCTTCCGAGCCCCAAATTTCGTGGGAGCTGTAATTCTACAAACCACAACAAATCCAAAAAGAATATGACCACACGCTATCTTCCACTTGAACTACAAAGTTTAGAACGGAAATTTGCTCTAGCCGTCCATTCAACCAAATCAGTGATAATGAAAATACAGAGGACAGTGAGCGAGACTCAGGCATAGCGCCAAGAGGGAACTAAAGAATGAAGGAAAAGCTGCTATGATGTCAGCAAGTTCATATCCTTCCATTTAGGCCGAACGTAAACCACTCCTGAAAATGACTGTTTGTTCCTAGGAGTTTTGCAAAGATGTTTCTCCATATGACTGCATATGAACCCTAGCGCCACCGGCAATAATCAAATTATCAATCTCCCGTTACCTACTGTGCCTTTTCCCCACGAAAACAAGGTATGTTCTTGCTCACGAACGGGCATCACTCGGCTTGTACAACTACTTCAATATGTTTGACTGGGAAAATGAAAAGTGGGATGTGGAAGGGGACATAGGACAAACGTTCGAGGTGTCTACACTAAGTCCACCTGGGTAGAAGCTGACAGCATGAACGTCACAGACGTCAGTTAACATATGTTTCAGCGTCTCCAACCGAACACAGTGAGGCTCGTACAATCCCAAATACTGGAGGCGAACGCCAAAGGCACTTAAGCTTTTTGCAACACCTTCCATTCTCTTCCACCAAGTGATTCTATATCCATTTCTAAATTGTGACTACTGAATTCCCTTTCGGAAAAAACGCTCGATCATAAATCAGCTTGTGGAAACAGTGCTTATCCGGTATATTCCAACATCATTGACAACAAAACCTATGTTCTCGTTTTGTGGGAACAACTCATTTAGGACTCCCAGGTTTAACGACGAAGTTTACTGATACAACTGAATGACCTACGAATTAAATAGTTAATTTTGGAAGGAACCTCTTATCTCACCGCCAACACTGACGGTAGAATCAGAGAAGAGCAGTGGTATTTCACTGTCATATAAACATGTCAATTTGTTTGGATAAAGGAAAGAAATATGGCACAAATGACAGACACAGTGACAGCACGAACGCCACTGGCCTCGGCTAGCCACCATACCCTTCAGTGTCTCATCATCATCATCAACGACAGCATGACATCAGTGCTCAACACCAATGCTTCACTGCCGTACAGCCATGACTTATTTGAAAGCCTTATTGTAAAGAAAAGAATAAAGGTGGATGGGGGAGGGACTTAGTGCTAGCTTAACACAATCATTCCGAGGTGCCTACACCTCCAGACATTCACTCAGGCAATCGGGATAGAAACTGACAACAAGAACGCCACTGACAACGGTTGGCAGCCATATCTTGTAGTGTCTCAAACCAGGCACAGTGAGGATCACGCGGTCCCCATCCTGGAAGGCCAAGCGAGTCCAGTGTGAGTGCAAGAGCAGCTTGTTGTCCCGCTTGCTTCAGAGTGCGAACATTGAACGCGGCCAGATAGAGTGGGCGTCGAGGCTTGAGGACTGATCTGGAGATTCCTGAAGATGTCGGCACCATGTGACGAGCAGATGCTGCACGCAAAACCGATGCATGACGAACGGAGTCATGAGTCCTACAAGGAGAGAGTCATTAATGGGATGGGGAGGGGGGGGGAATAAAGAGTATGTGAAGGAGAAAGAAGGGAGGCGTCAGCAGTAGCCTGTTTTCGCTTACCCGCCCTGCTGTATGCAGCAAGTAAGGCGACCCGACTGATGGCACCACGTGACGGCTAACCGCAAGGCAGCGGTGTTTGGCGAGAAATGCAAATGCATTACCATTTCTAAGGAACAAGTGGCCACATGTTCCAAACCCCAACCTGGAGGGCCAGGAGACTGTGTTCGTCAGACCTCTCACCATTGACCAACCTGGTATGAGAGACTCTGTGAGTGTCGCGGGACACTCTCCAGTATAGCTCAATGGATCGTTGAGGTGCGCAAACCGTCACACCACGGTAAGGTCCAGTCTCTTCGTGACGGACCCTTCAGTGTCTACATTTGGACAAGCAAGAGAAAAAAACAATCGTTCAGTTGTAATACCCTTTCGGTGCCCAGCTGCCAAGCCATCCAAAGGAAGGCAGAGGGCTGGGATACTGCCAGGTTGCCCAAACATAGACAGGGGAAATCGAGATGCAAAGGTCGGGTTCGAACCACGGACCTTCCAGACGGTAAATGCACAATCTAACCAGTGAGCCATTTTCGCTCACTGCCGGCATCCGGACATTTTTATGATATTGTTCATCCTCTTCTCTCATGTCATATTCTATCCATCTATAGTTTTTGGCCACTCCGAATAACGCACAGAAACCGACGCTTTACTCAGCACACAGTAATTCGGCATGCATAACCCAGCCAACCTATCCTGCAGGATGCATTCGTTGAGTAAAGTACCCCCTCACAAAAAACGGTCACCTGATCACCTCATTCCGAATGTTTTGGTCACGGCCAATTGCAGCCATGGTTCTGAGATATCAGTGGTCTCGCATCCTTCGCCAAAGTAGCCAGGTTTAGCAGCCGTGAAACAGTACAAACACCACTATAGTCTGCTGTCCCCCGAGACCCAGTGAAACAGTTTTATGACGCCACACGCAGCGCAAATTGGCAAACGCAATTCTGGCTTTCGAGATCCACGTGCTCACTTCGTCTGTCACACTACGATCAGATCTAATGGGCCTTTAAAAAAAATGTAGTGTCCCAGAACCTCCAGTGTCACTCCTTGAATTCTCAGAGGCACTTCCTGTACGTTGACCTTGCAGTTTGTGGGTGCGAAGCGCAAGCCCAACTGGCCAGCTTTTCAAAAATGAGAACGTCGTCTGCATACTCCAGAACGACATGGTTCTCGCTAGCAAAGATCTGAACACCAGTGTTCGCCTCATTACATCGAAAACAGCAGAAGTAAACAAAGATGGGGAGAGTGGACATTCTTGTTGGACACCATGGACAGCTCCCAATATATTCTCAGACCCCCTCACAAGTATGCCAGCACAAACAGTGAATGATATTCACAAACTTCTGGGGCATACACTGTTGCGAAAGGGTGTTCGAAGGAACTAACCAGGAACTAACAGAATCGCACTCACTCTTGAAGTCAAGGAACACCAACAACGCATATCGTTGCTTTAACACCTGACGGAGTCTGAAAGTGTGACCCACAGGGCATGTTCGGGATCGAAATCCTGCTTGGTGTTCTTGGGTCCTCCCTTTACGCAATTTCGGAAGACGACGCAGTGTAGTCACAATGGGGACCAAGCTAATTCCTGTGATTGGCACACTAACTACGAACACCCTTTTGAAAAATGGGCCCCACTATGAACTCAATTCAGTTGGTTGGGACGGTCCCCAAGATGGAGGTCCCCCCAGATGGAGGTAAGTTGGACAAGCATCAAGTATCGGAGGTGCGCAACCAGAGGTTATCGGAAACCGCTGAGGAAACTAATTCAACAATTGTATTGGGTTTTGAGATCTCATTTCAGACAGGCTCAATCGCACTTATACCCCCACTTCAGCTCAATGGGCTTTGAAAGTACACAAACCGTCACACCGCGGTAAGGTCCAATCTTTTCGGGAAAGCATATCACACAAAACCTCGAAACCAAAGTCACTGATACGCTTTTCATGGTAAAAACGCCGTAGCATCCTTTCGGTGGCCAGCTACCACCCGAAGTAAGCACGAGAAGCGAGATACTGTCAGGTTGTCTAAGTTTAAATACGAGTTGTCAAGATGCAGAGGTCGGGTTCGAACCAGGGACCTACAGGTCAGTAATTCCGATCAGAAAGACAGCTCGACACCCAATAAAAGCAAAACAGGATCCGTGCTGAGCAACACTACGGCGTTAAAAATTCAAACGGGACCACTCAGTTCAGAGTCCTGGCTAGCGGACAAAATGGAGACTCTTCTAGACATGCTAAAGTAGGAACTGTGAGAATTAAGCGGAACTTACATTCACCCAGTGACAAATGGGAATAATTTGATCTCAGTAGATCGTAGAAAGCTCGCTGTTAGGATGATCATACATGGTGAAACCAACCCTAGACTATTCCATGAGTTTCATCCGACAAAAATACTGTGACGGCCACGTGCATTCGAAGGGCGAAACCGGTCGTGGGTAGTCGAAGAATTTTCAGCAACTTTATGAGCATTAAGCATATATATATATATATATATATACATATATTCGAAATATTTCAACTGTCACGTCGT